TTAAATTCAGGTGGTCAAATATTGGTTCCTATGGATTTTATTTAACCCTTTTTTGCTTTAGTTTGGACTTGCATATGAGTAGTTGAGGGTCTGTTCCAAAATCAGCACCTGACGTACTTTTCACTGCTTATATTGAGTTTCTCCACTGAGGAAACAGGCTGCAGAAACCGATGAAATATCAATCAAAATGTTTCCACAAACAGATGCGGAACTCAGTCACGTCAAGAAACAGGGTAAGAGCCACTGGTTCAATTATCTGCGGAGATCTATCATTAAGCATGTTTCAAAGAAAGATGAGCCCACGGGAGACAGAAATTACTGAACAGCATCATCAATATCTGCAAAATCCACAGAAGATTAATGGAAAACAACAAAACAAAACAAGTCCAACAACTGTTATACCATACCAATAAACAGACAGGGAACTACCAGAAATTCAGGCCAGTTCAATAAGGTAACATGGAACACAGGCTAGTGTCAGAGAGGGCCTAGCTCTGATTGACTGACTACACAAAGGCACCAGTCATGACAAGTTGTGAGTCACATTACAAAGTATGAGAACCCCAGAGCTCTTTACCGTGATCATGTGGAATATGTACGACCAAGGGCATCTGGACAAAAGCATGGTTTCAAACCAGGAAAGGTATGCATCAGGGCTGAACCTTGTGTCTCTACTTCTTCTATCTGTATGCTGAGTCAATAATCTGGGAAGTGTGAATACGTAATGAATATAACACAGAAGCAGAACTGAAGGTAGAACCACTGGTAACCTGAAGCATGCTGATGACACAGCCTTGCCTGCTGAAAGTGAAGGTGGCCTAGCACTTACTGAGAAAACTAGAAGGCCTTCAGTGTGGATAGACTTACTGCATGGACGTCATGGTGTCAGCTTAAAGTTGGCTTTTTTAACCATTACCTTAGCTCCCTCTGGTCTCCAGGTACCTTAACTGCAGACACATGGTCTTGCAAATCTTTGACAGCTATGGGACTAAGATAAGAGAGAGAAAGAGTTTCCCACACTGAACACCAAGACTTGAGGAAGACTGGAGCAAGATCTTGTGAGAGCAAGACTCTGGTGATGGTGGTGGAGAGATAGTGGCATTGTTGTGTATAAACTGTGGCAAAGTGTAACCAACCAGGGGAGCCCTGAGATACAGGCCACAGTCAAAAGTTTTTCTGTTCTTGCCTTTGATGATGGAAGTTTTGAAAAGCTGCTTGCCAAACTAAAATCAAGGCTTGGATTAAATGAGGAATTGTGCCTCGAGACTTCTGGGCTAAATCTTGGGCTTATATTGGGTGATATTCTTTGCCACTCCCACTAGACAACCTAGTTCCCTAATAAACCCTACTCTCAGCACCAGAGAGTAGCTGTGAGTAAAGTCTATGAGTTAATAATGAATATCAAACCTCGTGCTGTTGCTGTGGCTTTGGAGGCACCATGGGTCTGGGCTACGGGATCTTTATCTGCATTCTTCTCTGGAGCGGTGAGGAGTTATACCAGTCTCACTTTCTGTGGCCCTTTTAGAGAGAAGCTCACAGCCTTATGCCTTTATGTCCTATTTTATTGTCTCTAGACAGAAGTCTTAAAAGTGAAGTGTATGTCCTATATGATTCAAATAAAATACAGCTATAAAATACAATTGTAGATTTATGTTACAGTTAGGTTTTGTATGACAAACTAATTTAAACTGATACCAATTTAACTTCAATAACAGAAAACCTAATCTTTTTTCCCATGCTTGAAAATATTTTATTAATTATTTAATAAACTCATACTCACTGCTTTTAAGTCAATTCCTACTCACAGAACCCACTGGGAGAAAGTAGTACTAACTCTCCCATCACTTTCCAGAACAAAACCTTTACAAAATCACACTAACAACTGTTTCTCCTTTACAATACCTAGTGAGTTTGAACTTTTGACCGTTCAGTTAGCATTCAAGTGCTTAACCACTGTGCAACCACAGTTTTGAGGTTTGTTTTTTTTTTTGTAATATGGTGTTTTGTTTTTTTTTTAAATAATTTTATATTGGTGTGCATACAAAATTCATATACACTGTATTTCACACTTCCCTTCATTCACATTGTGTTTCATACAATCATTCTCATTCATTGCGTTTTGTAAAATTAATCCCCATTTGGCGAGTTCTGGTGGCCTAGTGGCAAGAAGCTGCACTGCAATCTCAGAGGTACACGGTTTGAATCCACCAGATGCTCTGCTGGAGGAGGAACAATCTCCTCCTGTACCAGTCAGATCTGATTTGACGGTACACATAAAAAATAATGAAATAAAATAAAAAAATTTAAAAAAAATTAATCCCCATTCAACTATGTCCACCATAACCTTGTCTTTACAGGACCCTGCCCAACCTTTCCCATATCCTTTACCCCCTCCCTCCACCCATCAAATTGTACCACTCTGTAATTTCCCCATCCTCACTCCTCTGCTCCCACCCTTTCCCCCTCAGACCTCCATACACGTTTTCCTAGTTATCCTTCTATTTTTGCAGTAATGGTCTCTTGCAGTATTTGTCCTTAAGAGACTGAATTAGTGCATGCAGCATGGCTCTCCAGTCTCTCCCAAGTCAAAACCTAACTATTATTATGCTCCCCACCTCTCTCATATGGTATCAGGAATTGTGTTATATGCCCATAACATAATCTACAATTGTTATTTCACGGCGGTGTCTCTTTGAATCATGTAGGACACAAGACTACAGTTACAAAACAAAAATATGCCAAACCAGCCCTTATATTGGCCCCCAGGACCACTGCTCTGTAATGCCCTTCCCTGTGCCAACTCCGATATCCTTTGAAACTGAGCAAACATGCAATCAAGACGCATTAATAATAACTGGTCACTAAAATGCAAAAGTCAGAAACAAAGATAGATTGGTAGTTGGAAAAGACAGACTTTTCTACAGCCTTGGCTGAGTATTCCATGAGTTGTCCAGAACAGGCACATATGTCTTGAAGGAAGAGTTGCTCTGCAGTGGTCAGGACAGTGAGTCATCAACTCTGGACATATCGATGCCAGTCCCTGGCAAAGAGCACCAGGGCTAGAAAAGCAGAGGGTCAGGAATGGAGAGGCGGATGCCCAGGGAGACTGAGTGCACACCGGCTGTAGCACTGCACTGAGCACGGAGGAGACAGGAAAGGTACACTCTGGGTAGATCTCAACACGAGTGAGAGCCAGCTACACAGCACCTAACCACACAGCACAGACCTGGGAGAAATCTGTGTGCCCTCGATATACCGTAGACATCTCTAAGAATGAAAAAATGCACTAATCTCCTATATATCTGATGCTGAAGACCTGCCTGTCCTTGGAAAATCCTCACTGATAAAATGGCAACTTTTTAAGAACTGAAAATCCACTGCAATCCATCCAATTCTTGGGTCTAAAGGTGCTGAGGACACTGTTTAAAACTGTGGGCAAGTGTGTCTGGACAGGGTCTGTTGATACCATACCTTTGTTTCACTCCCTGCTACCACCTTAGCTGTTTTACAAGAACCATGTGCACGTGATGAAACCAGTTAGCTACTCTGTGCTATTCAAGTGCAATAAGACCATCAACACACAGAACCCCAGCGCTTCTGAGCACAGCATCATTACCACATTTCCATCCTCAGTTCCAGCCACTCCACTCATTCTGTCTCTCATTATAGTCCCTGAAGCCGGACCAGAGCTCAGCCTGGAAAGATGTCAAATGACAGACATCAGCCATGAGATTGGGAGTCCACACAACACCTCAACCTGCTGGCCAAGAATCCATGGCTGGCTTCCCACTACCGATCCCTGCAAGGCAGCAGCAGCAGTAAGTTTGAGTCTATAACATCCTCATCTTCTCTGCTGGACCCTACCCGTGTAGGCTGTGACTCGCTGGCAGGACCTTTGTGATGCACAGCACACCTTACTTGCATCTAGAGAGGAGAGAGGCCTTTCCTGCCAAGAGGACACAGACTGGAGAGATGAAAGGCAAGGTCTGGACGATTCCCAGCACACAGTCTCCCCTGTAAGTGACATCTGATCTCTAGACAAGCATCCCCACCAACTAGGACACCCTCAGAGCCTTTGTGCTCAGGCCTCTGGGCAGCCAGTCCTGAGAGGCTGGGTGAAGTCTCCTGGGAGGCTGGTGGGTACCAGGAGGTCGAATGAGTCTCCCTCTGACATCCTCTGATATTCTGAGCATCTCCAACCAAGGTTCCCCAACTGCCCTACCGTCAAGGACAAAAGCCATCTTGCTTAGGGTAAAACTTAGCCCACTGCTCTAATGTTGTGGGGTGTTAAATGACACCACTGTACAAGACAGCAGCCAAGAGCTGGTGAAGGAGGGGCAGAGTCCCATCACCGACATCATACGTGAGAACACTGGGATGATCAATGCCTTTTTTTCCTTTGCTCTGTAATGTGTACATTTTAGAGATTCCATTCTGTCTGGAATTAGCACCTCCTCTCTCATCAAGACATTTTTCTCTCACTGCCATCAAGTTGGAGGCAGCTCAAAGCTGAGCCTACGGTGACTTTTCAGAGGCTGTGTATGGCCCAGGGGGAGCGTGCTCATCTTTCTCTTGTGTGTCATAGTTATCACCACTTAAATAAATGCCCAAAAGAAAGAGGCAGGCAGACAGCAAACAAGGCAAACTGCTGTGACAATCCAGATGTGAAGTGTCTAGGCCCAAGAACAGCAAAGCACCCAGGCAGCAAGCTGTGAAAAAGGCAGAAGGACTCCACAACCAATTAAATGATGAGCTTCAAGTCAGTGAAATGTACATCACGTGAGGCCATAGCAGAAACACTGACCTGGCCTTAAGGAAGCTGAATGTAACAATCTAAGAACTGAACTGGAAAAATCAGGGATGCTGGGACTTAACAAAAGCATCACCCATGTACCCTCTGCCAGGCTCAGGTCAGACACGTGGATCCTAAGATTGCAATCACTGGGTTCTGTTGCCCGCCCTGCTGGCGGCCCTGGTGTGCAGAGCAGTGGGACGCTTACCTGGTAACCTTCTGTCTTCCGCTGGCACCACTTGAGCAGGGCATTTCTCTTGGAGCCACCATATTCTCTGGCCAGTGCTGATAGAGGGTCCTTCCTTTCTTCTCTGGTGAGAGAAAACAGAAACCCTTAGGTTATAATGCTTATAAACCCGGCACTAAAACAACCAGAAATCTGGCCTATGGTGAAGAGGGCATGGCACCAGCTTGTCCCCTTCAACAGGACACGTGTACTGCAAGGCTACCAGCTGATCACAGCAACTCTCAATCTCACAGCCCGAGGGGTCTCAGTTCTCTGGGGTCCTGGGGGATTCTCCTTGTCCCCGTGGGCCTCTACCAGTGTAGAAGCACCTTCTGAAAGGCTCGGGGGGGAACCGCCAGGTGTCACAGCCTCTGAGCGCTGCTCCTGCTGTCCTCCAGCCACTGTCTCACTCGTTAGAGAACTCTGTGCTCCATCTTTGTTATCATTTTACCACTCTACTTGTAAATGTAAAGGGTGAGGTTATGCAAGGTGTGGCTACTAAAGCAAGCCTACCACAGGGACAAAGGATGGCAATGAAATGACAGGCGGGGAGAACGCCCATGGTGCTGTACAAGTTCCCAACCATGCCAGGTGCCCTGCTGACTGACTGTGGAGACAGCGTGTCACATCCTGCACAAGTGTGGTGTCTCTTTCCTGTGAACACACTGCTCACCTGTGCCTCTTTCAAGCTCTGTGCTACGCCAGTGTCCAGCTAGTGGACTAGGAGGCGGTGTCATGAAGAGCAGAGGCCCTTGTCCCTCAGGTAACACAAAATCTCTACGGGACGGACACTATCCAAACTGTACAGTTTTTAAAGATTATAAGCAGGGGCTTTATGGCACTACCAAGAACCCAGTAAAAATGACAACCATCTCGTCCAAGACAAGATATGGAATGAAAAATAGCTTGTGACCAGTTCTGGTGACAACAGACAAGCACTACACACTGGCCCAAGCATCCATCCCAGAGCCACCTTCCAGGAGGTCACCAGGCAGAGCCAGGACCACTAAGGTGTGAGCAGAGCGAATGTACTCTGGGACACAGTGTGGATCGTCAGCACTTGATCTGCATCTCAGGTTGGTAAGAACAAAAGACCTCATCTTACACATCTCAGGCCTGCTGTCAGGAGGGACAAGTCCTTAGAACAGGACACCCTGCGGGGAAAGGTGGAGAGGCAGAGAGAGGAAGACCCTCTGTGTGATGGACTGACCAGTGACTGTCAAACAATGGGCTCCAACATCAGAGCTGATAAGGACGACACCAGATAAGGTGGGATTCAGATCTGGTATTCACAGGGTCGCCAGGAGTTGTGGACTATTCAACACCATCTAACAATAGGTGCACTTAACACATCCACATCCTAGCAGCAGCGTGCACCAGGGGGTCGTCATTCTGCCAGCGTACTTGGTCAGTGTTCACTCTCAAGGCTGTCAGGAAACCAGAGCACACATGTTTACAACTGAGGGGTGTGCTGGAACCCCAACAGCCTCACTCACCCAAACATCTAAAATGAAACTCCCAATGGACTGCAGCGTGTGGCCAGACTGCCGCCTGGAAGAACACGTGTTCTGCTTCCTGTGGATGCCAGCCTGTCAGCTGTCAACTCTGGATGACAGGACGCTCTACCTGAAAGGGCTGCATGCACACTCAGAGGCGTTTACTGCAACACCACCGGATGTAGGGAAACAGAACCAAGATAGAGATGTGTCATGTGCCACATCAATATTGGCAGTACAGTAAAATGAGCTAAGCAGTTTCCTCCTCTCCAGTCTCCTCTCCAAGCTCAAACAGGACACCTGACAAGAACCTGAAGCCTCCTGACACCCCAGGAGGGAGCCTGGAAGTGGACACACCCCCACACTTGAAGCCCTGTGCCAAGGGCTGACAGCTTGACCAAAGTCACTTTTGTTAATGGGAATAGCTAAGAAGCATTAAAGAATAAACTCTATGAAAATGGCGAGACGCTCCTAGAACTAGAGGGCCTGCACTGTCTAAACATTTTAAGGTACAGAAACTACGGCTGGAAGATGCCAGTGTGTCTGGGTGGGTGCAGCCCCAGCTGACCCTGTGGGCAAGTGGGGGGGCCAGATGTCCCCATACCAGCATTTCTACCTGGGGAGATGAGTGTGCCCCCCACCCTATCCTGCAGGGAAGCGGGGAGGCCACATGCAGCTACACTAACATTCCTGCCTAGGGAGATGAGTGCACCCAAACCCATGCTGCAGGGAAGCGGGGAGGCCTGATGCCCCTACACCAGCATTCCTGCATGGGGAGATGAGTGCAGCCCCAGCTCACTCTGCAGAGACAAGGGGAGGCCAGATGTGCCCATACCAGTGCTTCCACCTCCTCCAGGGAGCCGACCCAGGCCCACTGCCTCACACACTCAGCCAGCTCTCTCCTGGGGGCCACATCCTCTCCCCTGGGCTCCTGATTGCCCCCAGGGCACACTGCTTATGGAGCCACCCTTCGGAGACCTTCAAGCAATCCAACTCTGGGAGATCAGGTAGGTAATTCTGCCCCTCAAAAATGGAAGCTAACAAATGGCTAAATTTGTAACATTTATGCTTATTCTTCTGCAATTTTTAATACTTCTGACATGAGACAATGAAGAACAAAACAGAGATTCGTATTCTCATGGATGGTTCACTCAGCCGTGTCCAAGGAACACTGGGCCTGACACAGCACTTGGGGTCTGACCCCAGAAGTACATCGCCAGGCCTCACTGCCCAGGTGCCATGAGGCAGGCCTGACAGTGGATGGATCTGGCCATTCAGATGCAGCGGGGTGGGTCTGACTGTCCAGGTGCCGTGGAATGACCCGATGGTGCAGACGTCATGGGCAGACCTGGCCATCCAGACACCACAGAACAGGCCTGACTGTACAGTGTGAGCTGGCACCACCTGAGAGCTCTCATTATCAATACCCTACATAGACCCATGCTCTTACTCTAAACAATTAGGGCCACCTTTGACATCACCTATTCTCTTACTCCTCTTACCTAGACTGAGAACATTCTAACCATCTTCCTTCAGGACAACCTCATGGATCCACCCTCCTCTCACTTCCCTGGTATCATCTCCTCGCCTTTCCACTACAGGTATCTCACCCGTCACAGTCCAACTCTACAGTCTGGCTTCTAAGAGGCTCCGCCACCGAGCCAGACACACCTCAAACGTCTCTTCTGCCCCAGAAATGCAAGAACACCTTCCCGGCTGCTCCAACTCCATCCTCTCCTCAACCATGTACCACTGACCTGCAGCCCTGTCCTCAGCTCCTCAGACGGCGCTCTAGCAACTGCCCACACTGAAACCATCCCAGGGCCCCACAGTCCATGACCCTCGGACGCTCCGCAATGCCAGCCTGCCCTGGAGGCTTGTATGCCCCTGGCGACCTGCCTGTACCACAGTGTTCAGCTCTCACAGCGCCCTTTCAGAGTCAAACATTCTCTAATTAAAATAACAAGCTTAGCTACTAGGGAAGAAGAGTTGGTCCTGACAAAGGCAGGGAGATGAGTGGACAATTACACAAGGAAGGATGGTGCCAGCTGGGAGAGGTGGACACACGCACACAGGCAGCTCCTCACCGTATGCGGCTACGGGTAGTGGGTGTCACGGATGCGGTGGGTGACGATGACAGAGAGAGCTGAGGTGATGTGGTTCCAATGGCCATAAGTGAGGCTGGTGTCGCACCCTCGGGTGCAGAGATGTCCCGTTTTATGTCTTCGCTGCTCCGGCGGGACACTAGGGATACACAGGGAGGCCACATGAGTACCTGCAGGAAGGCTCAGACAACAGACATGCCCACATGCAAGGTACAATCCCACGTCTCATCTGATGACTCCACAGGGTCTAGGGCTGGTGCTTTTCCCATCGGAGGGCACGGGAAGTGCACCGGCTACTGGACCCGCACTGTCTGGGCACAGGTCAGTGAGACGTCCACCTGTACCCTCTCAGCCCAAGACCAGCACTCAGAATGAGAGGTGCAGTGAGTGTGGCCGGGGGAGACCACAGCAGGAATGAGCAAGAGCGAGATCCAGGAGGCAGTTCTCAGACAGTGGTCTGTACATAACTAGGCCTAGCAAGGACTGCAGAACCTGTCTTTAGAAGCACACCCAGAAAACGAGGGTTAACAGAGGCAGTAGTGCTGTGTACACACTGTTAAAAATCAGCATGCTTCCGCAGAGCCTGGCCAAAGCTGCTATGAAAGGGATACCAAGAGAGATCGTTCATACACATATAAAGAGAGACAGACAGCAAACAGCTGGAAAACACAAGAGGGGACATTCTGAGTGGAAGCCACCGACCCCGAGCTGAAGCAGTGTGCAGAGGCAGTAATAAGAGGTGGCCTCAGGAGCACCACGCCCTGCGCAGCTGTCACCTGAGATGGTCTTGGAGCTGTCCATCGCGGGCACTCTGGGAAGTGACGCTGGTCGGCTGGTGGACGAGGTCCTGAGCAGGTGCTCTGCACAGAGGGTAAAGGTCACAGTAAGACAAGGACACCGACGGGCAGTGACAAAGGCACAAGGAGTGCTGGTGGCCTTGTCTGTGGAGAATTGTGCTGCTGATCGACAGTTCAAACCCACCAGTAGCTCTACAGGACGACACACAACCTTCTCCTGTGCACTTCATAGACTCAAAAAACCTGCTGGAAGGCCCGCTGGTTCTCACACGATGACAATGAGGGAGAGAGGAACCCTCGAGGCATAGTGTTCCTCACCCCAGACTCCCCATGTTATCCAAATGTCAGGGAGCCAGGGGGCACCATGTATGTCTGTGCCCCACAGCCTGTCCAATCTCAGACCCTCCCCTCTGCATCCTTGTCCACACCCCACAGCCTCATTTCCCCACACACTGGCCTGCAGCCTATCCATTCCCAGACTTTCCCCTCCACATCTCAGCTCCCCACACTCTGTCCCCATAGCCTGTCCATTCCTAGACCATGGCCCCCGTCCTCCTCATGCTCACGATCTCAGCTCCTCACACACTAGCCTGCTGTCCACGGCTCTTCTCCACACCGTCTCCTGTAGTTTCTCTTATTTCCTGTCTTCAAGACCTGCCCCTAAGCAGGGGCTAGGGGTCCCTTGCAGCCTCCCTTCCTGTCTTCATCACCTGCCCCCAAGCAGGGATCAGGGGTCCCTTGCAGCCTCCCTTCCCACCGGTGTCACCAAGGGCCATGTGTCTGATAAAGTGGTGCCATTCAGGCCAGGCACAAGGGCGGACTAGCCCCGCAAGCCAGACTGGTGCACCAAAGCCAGGTGCGCAGCCTCTGAGGAAGCCCTAGAGGACCGTATCAGGGGAGACCTGAGCCCGTGCCCAGGAACACCCCACAGTATCAGTCAGAGCCATCTACTAACCAAACACACTGTTCACTGCTCTTTCTAAAGAGATGAACCTTTAACTCCCTCTCAAAACTTGGTAATGCCACCGGGCATTATCACTCCAGGTTCACCACTATAAACTGAAACCTGACTCACAGCTGACCTTCCAGTGGGGTTCTGGAGGCTGTAAGTCACATGGGAGGGAGCTCTACTGCCCTAGTGGTAAGAAATTGCACTGCCAACCCATAGGCGCATGGTTCAAATCCACCAGCTGCTCCACGGGAAAAGGATGGGCCATGTGACTGACGCTGAAAGCCCACAGGAGGATAAACTGACTTAACAGTACTTAACGATGACGACTAACTGCATGGGAGATGGCTGTTCCTCTAACATTGTGGAGTGGCTGGCGGGTGGGACCAGTGTCACTGCTTCTGGGTTTGCAGCACAGCTCTCTTTGGACCAGGTCCCTCGAGCTAACCTTTCACCCCAAAATCTGAACGTGTGATGACACTGGGTGAGGGGTACATGCTACTGGGAAGGAAGGAGTGGGAGGTGTGGGCCTGTACTCTGCAGGAAGACAGGAAGCGGCTCTTTATCTACTGTGCACACGGCCTCTGCACAGGGGTGACTGCGGGCATCAGGCAGACCTGAGCCTGCGAGCAGCTGGAGGCCATCCCGCAGGAAGAGAGCAGCCCCTGCGGCAAAACAAAGGAGCCGCAGGACACAGAGCCACAGGTCAGCCACATCTTCTGTCCTATGAGAGATGGAATGCTGACCACGCCCCCAAAACCTTAGTCCTCAGAGAACAGCGGGTTGAGAAAGTGAAAGCAGAGGTTATTAAAGACGAGAGGTAGGTCATGGCAGGTGACATCCATGCCAAGCTGGAGGCCATGATTCAGGGTAACTCAGCTCATCCTTGGATCTGATATGGGGTCTCTAAGGGGGTGGGCTGCATCGCAGGATATGTGTCTCTCTGTCGTGCACCAGTCCATGGATGTGACCCCACAGCTCACCAGCTGACTATGGACCCTCAACTTCTGCAACCATAAGTCAGGGATGTCTCCATTTTGGCACCTGGCTCGTGGATTTGGGACATGGCAGCCCCACACATGAGCAAACCATTCCTTTGAAAGAAATCTTTCCATCCACACTTGGGCGATTCTCTCCTCCAGTGAAGCCGGACTGACAGGCAGGATGGATCGAAGTGCACCCACCATGCCCCACGTGGGAAGTCTCTGAAAGGTGACTAAATGGTCCCTGACTCACAGTACACACTCCAGACACAGCTGAAAATAGAACTCACAGAAGTGCCCACTGTGGGTCAGCCCAGCACGAGTGAGGTCCTTCTTTTCTTCAGCTAAGGCCCTGCTGCAGGCCGACGTCCCTTTCCAAAGATGCATGGCAACAATCAGCCTCAGCAGGCGACCCTGTCAGTGTCTGGAGGTGGCTTTCTGCCACTGCACAGCAGTTCCAGGGAAAGCACTCCCCACAGGGAAGAGGCATCGGTCACTCACCATAGGCTAGGAAGCAAGCCTAGGACCATGCAGGGGGCGCTGGTGTCCACTTACACTCGTATTCATCCACTACTCTCCCCAGGACCACTGGACTGATCAGCAGCGGCATGACGGATGGAGAGGAGAATGAAACCGTCAAAAGCTTCATCTTGCTTGGATCCTCAATTAACACCATTAGTACTAGCAGTCAGGAAACAAGAAGATGCATTGAACTGGGGAAATTTGCAGTTAGGGACCTCTCCAAGTTATTGAGGAGTAATGATGTCAGTTTGAGGACTAAGGCGGGTCTGATTCAGGCCATAGTCTTTCCAATTACTTGCCATGCATCTGAGAGCTGACAATCAGTAAGGATGAAAGGAAAAGAACTGACACCTTTGAGCTATGGTGTTGGAGAAGAGCACTGAACATTCCATGGGTAGCCAAGAGAACAAACAGATATGTCTTGGAGAGAGTGTAGCTGGAGTGCTCGTTGAAGGCAAGAATGATAAGGTTTCGCCTCACATACTTGGACATGTTGCTAGGAGAGCCTATTCCTTGGAGAAGGACATGGTGCTGGGAAGGGTGGAGGGTCAGCAAAGAAGAGGAAGACTCTCAACCAGTTTGACTGACAAGGTGACTACTGCAATGGGCTCTTTTGTGTCAGGAAGTGAGAGGATGGTGCCGGACAGAACAGGGTTTGGATCTTTTGTTCAAAGGGTTGCTATGAGTCGTACTTGACTCAACAGCTCCTAACAACAACAATCAACAACTCTCCCCAGAAAGATGTCCGTGCACAAGGGTCAAGGTGGTGGCCAGGAGGAATTGCACTGCCACAGCAGTGGAGCTTTGCGATGATGAAATGCCAAGCCTAAAGGAGCCACACTGCTAACCCAAAGGCTGTGTGTGTCCAATTCAAATCTACCAGCAAAAAAAAAAAATTAAAAAAAAATCAAAAAAAAATAAAAATCTACCAGCAGGTCCTTGGTAGGAACATGGATAGCTGTTCCCGCTGGGTCTCACAACCTAGGAAGTCTGAGAGAGTTGCTGGTTGGCGTGAATTCAATGGCAGGGAGTTTGGGGGTTTTTAGTTGGCTATGACCCAGACATAAGAAGTCCCTCTTTTCTTGAATCTCCTGCTTAAACAAAACCCCCCGGGGATCTGTTCATCACCAGCACCTGGGTTTGCAATAAAGTGTGCGAAGGTCAGAGACCACAAAGGTGACAGGAAGCTCACTGTCACAGAGCCAGAGGGGCAGGCAGAGGATGACACAGCCAGGATTGAGGACACAGGACGAGGTGCGATGTGGCCAGGGGGAGGTCCAGGAAGGCAACTGCAGGAAGCCACTTCTGTGATGGAGCTAGGAAGACAATTAGCACAGCAGATGTCTGCCACTAACCAGTAGCTCAGCATCCAACCCACCGGCTGCTCCTTGAGAGGAGGGTGAGCTCTCTCCTCCCACAGAGAATTCAGTCTCCAACACCCAACAGGGGGCAGCTAGGAGTCTGGATCAGGGATGGCACTGGGTCAGTGTGGCTCAGAGTAAGCATGTAAAGGAGGCCTGAGCAGAAGGGCTTCAGGCTAAGGCCAGGAGGTACAGGTGATTTCATACATTCTGAAGGTGGGAGAAGAGTCCTGAGGTAAGAGGTGATAAAAGCTGATGGAGTCGTCCAGTAGCTCGCACAAGTTGGATACTGGGCTATCTTTAACCTCTGTAGGGAATAGGGAGCTCTGGTGGCCCATTGGAAAAGGAAGTTCACTGACAACCCAAAGCCATGTGGTTCGAATTCACCAACTGCTCAATGGGAGAAAAATAGGCATTCTCCTCCTGCATGATCTATTGTGTCTGTAAACCTGCTGCAGGATCAGGTATAGGTCAGCCGTGAATAAGGGTAACAAAAGAACTGATGTCTCTGAGCTTTGGTGTTGGAGAAGAGTACTGAATGTCCCTTGGACTGCCAAGAGAACAAAATGGCTATGTCTTGGAGAAGGTAAAGCCAGGCTGCTCCTTAAAGGTAACATTGGTGAGGTTTTGCCTCACAAATGTTGGCCATGTTGTCAGGAAGGGCCAGTCTTTGGAAAAAGGCATCACACTGGGAAAGACAGCAGGGCAACAAGAGAGGAAGACCATGCACAAGATGGATCGCAGTGACTGACAATGGGCTGGAGCACGTCAGACGGCAAGGATGGTGCAGGACAGGGCGAGGTGCAGATCTGCTGTTCACAGGCTGAGTCTGTGACAGCCAACTGGATAGCACCTACCTCACCAGAAGAAACGTGGGGCCATCAGACAGAGGAAAAGATGCTCAACAACATTCATCATGAGGCGTTGTTGTCGTTATGTGCCATCGAGTCGCTTGCGACTCATATCAACCCTATGTACAAGAGCTCTAAACGCCATTCTATCCTGTGCCAACCTAGCCATCCCAAACGCACTCATTCCCACCACTCCACAGAATTGATCCATCTCATCGAAGGTCTTCCGAGGCAAGTCAAAACCACAGAGGGACACCACTTTACCCCCACAGGCGACTACAACAAAAGAAAAAAGAGAAACAGGTGTGCCTGCCCCCCTGGGGGAGATGTCAGAGCACCCAGAGGCGGAAAAGCTGGCAGCTCTCCAGAAAGCCAACAGACTCCCTGCAAGAACTGCAGAGCTGCTCCAGGGTCTCTTGGTGATAATCTTTATGGATTATCAATAATAATCCAAGTCTTTCCTCTATGGAGTTGCTGGATGGATTCAACCTCGGGGGAAATGTTCTGCCGTAACTGTCATGCTTTAAAATACCCGTACTACAATGGACAACTGCAGTTCCTACTTAGGGAGCTCTGGTGGCCGAGTAGTAAGAAACTCAGCTGTCAACCCAAAGGTAGACAGTTCAAATCCACCAGCTACTTTATGGGAGAAAGACGAGCAATCCCTTCTTTTGTGAATTACCATCTCTGGAAACCCATTGGAGGGTCAGCTATGAGTTGGTTCTGACTCAATAGTACACAGAGAAATAAAGTCCTGATCCATACTGTTACCTGGAGGACCCTGAAAATCTCCTACTGGTGAAACAGGTCAGTCTCCACTGTCATCATCAACAAAAAGGAAAAGTATTATGAGCAAACCTCTAATAAACATGAATACGAGGTTGGCCAAAGTCCTGTTGGAAATAAGAATTAGGTTAGCTAAAGAGCCACAGCCAGCCAACACTCAACAACATGCAGGAAAGGCTGACGCTCCTGAAGCCGGTGTACCTTGAACGGGGAGCTCTCCGTAATTGGGCCTCTTATCCGTCAGCGCTGTCAGGGGCTTGGTGGTCGAGATTGGTCCACTGATGGAATGTCTCTGAAACCACAGGAGAAGCAGAGTCAAGGCCCACATCAACAAGATCCGAGACTCGCAAAGAAGGGACTACTGGCTGGATAAAGACACACACAGTCCATTTCACACCACAGCTGTAAAGCTGAGACAGACAAACTCACATGCCCCCCACCCCCCAAATACAGGAACAGTGTCATCTGTATAGTTTCTGAAAGGGCTGTTATTTTGTGGTAACTGCAGACCCACATGTAGTTTTAGAGAACACAGGGCAAACCCCACAACTGGGGTCACTCCAGTACACGGATGCAGTGAGGGTATAGCACTATAGAATTTTATAAAACCAATGCCTTATTAATTACAGATTTTTAAAAAAAAAACGACACAACAACTCATAAACACGGGTATATTGCACGCATTCTATCCTCCTGATGAATGCAGAGGAATCAAAATGACGACCCTCTGGAAAGGAAGTTCCAGGAATAACTGTGGAATAGACCATAAATGCTCAGATACTCTAAGTCAAAATAGAAATGAAGAAGAGAACGAAAACAAACCCAAAAGTGCCAAATTACGACCCTGTGTATAGAATTTCAAAATCATCTCATGAATAGACTTTACACACTGAATGCTAACAACTAAAGCTACGAGGGTTGTGAGACGGTATCCAGTACATCACACACGAAGCAAGCAACAGGTCATGAAACCATAGCAGAGAAGGGACAGGTTCAAATGGATGTCAGAAGAGGTTCTGACAGGGAGAAAATAAAGCAAAAGGAAGAAGTGATAAAGTAAGAAAGCAGGCAGATTTCAAAGGGCAGCTAGAGAAAACAAAAGAAAGCATTATAATGAAATGTGCAAAGAGCTGGAGTTAAGAGAACCGAGAGGGAAGAAGAGTATGAGACAGAGCCAACTTGTCAGCAGCGATGTCCCACAGGGTATGTAAGCACAGTGGTGAGCACTGTAAAGGCTGGGAAACACTGGACAGCATGCAGGGAGAGCTCCGTAATACCCCACAGAGGTGTGTAAGTATGCAGGGATGAGCTCTGTAATACCCCACCAGAGGTGTATAAGCATGAGCTCTGGAGAGGCTGGGGAATAGTAGACAGCATGCAGAAAGACTTCTCAATGTTCCATCGGGTGTGTAAGCACAGTGAGGAGCAGCATAAAGGCCAGGGAACAGTGGACAGCACTCAGGGAGCACTCTAAAACCATCAGCTATAATTACACAGTTCCTATTACCTGCTTTATGTCCACTCAGGGTACTCACAGCATTTTAGGGAACAATTTCCAAACACCCATCGATGCATCAGCCATTTTCTCAGAGAAGAGGCAGTCCTACCTTCTGGCTGGCCTCCCATCCCCTTAGTCCCCTCAAGCCTGTCACAGTCACACACATTTACATGCATGGGGATGTACCCTCTGGCTGTCCTCCCGTCCCCTCCAGCCTGTCATGGTCACATGGATTTACCTGCATGGGGGAAACAGCTGCTGCAGGGGGCGTTTTCATAGGGCTTGGACTCAGAGGAGTTCGAGGAATTGCAGCTGCTGCAGGATTCGGCACTGCACAAGCAAGAAATAAATGAGTAAATCATGAATGCTCCACAATACAGTGAGTGTTCTTACTAAATTCCGCTCACTGAGTTACCAGGTAACCACTGTGTTCTTCTCCCCTGACAAGGATGCCTGCCATTTGCTTTGTAATTATAAGGAGCCCTAGTCGTGCAGTGGTTGAAACACATGGCTGCTAACCAGAAGGTCAGTGGTTGGTACCCACCAGCTGTTCCTGGACGTGGCAGCCTGGCTGGTAAAACACACAGCATTAGTTATCCTGTGAGGGAGTTGTACTCTGTCCATGGGATCATCATACATCAAAACTACCTCAACAGCAAAGGGGTCCTAATAATTCCCTGGGGCTGGTGCTGGTTATGTGTCCTTGAGTTGGAAGCGACCCTTACCTGACCCTCTGGCAGGTTTTCAGAGGCAGTACATCACGTGGGAGGAGAGGGTCCCTCTTTCTCTTGTGGGGCAGCTGGTGAATTTGAACTCCATGCCTTTAGGATTGAAGCACAGCTTCTTACCTCTCAGTCACTAGAGCTCCTATGGGGCTGGAGTACTCGATGTTGTGTTGTTATGTGCCATCGAGTCACCTGCGACTCTCATAGCAATCCTATGTACAACAGCTCTGAAGCCTACTGTGTCCTGAGCCAGGCTCACTGACTCCAACATACCTACATCTCATCCAGTGTCTTCCTCTTCTGCACTGTCCCTCCACCCTTCCAAGCATATTGTTCTCCATGGACTGGTCTCTCCTGGCCACATGCCCAAAGTATATGAGATGGAGCTTCAAACTTTGTTTTCTTGGTGTTATATGGTATGTTCAAGACTCTTCTTCTCCAGCACCACAACTCAAAGGCATCAATTCTTCTGTCATCTTTAGTCCCTGTCCAGCTCTCTCCTACATAGCACGTAATTGTGAAGATCAAGGCCTGGATCAGGCACACCTTATTCTATAGACTGACACTGTTGCTTCTCAGTACTCTGGAGAGGTCCCTGACAGCAGATTTACCTAATGCAATTTATCTTTTGATTTCCTGACTGCTGGTGTTAAGAGGGTTGATTGTGGAACCAAGGAAGCTGTAACTGTTAACAACCTCACTCTCTTCTCTATCCATCATGGTGCTGCCAATTGGTCCAGTGGTAAGACACTTTTTTTGATGTTGCGCTTCAATCAATATTGAAGACTATGGTCCTCCACCTTCTGCAGCAAGTGCTTCAGGTCCACCTCAGTTTCAGCAAACAAGGTTGTGTCTTCTGCATAATTGCAGATTGTTGACGAATGAAATTAAGAACTCACCAAAAAAGAAAAGGAGTATTTCTCTAAGTGCCTTAGAGAAGCATTCCAGATGTAACTGATGCCCGATGCTCTGTCTGTCCTTAACCTTCCCCTACAGAGTGAATCACTTCACCACACGGGGGCTTCCTGGTCTGCATTCAACACAATGACGAGTTGTTATTTGCTTACATGAACCAAACAAATCAAAAGTTGAATAAAAAATGTATTTGTTTCTAAAATTTTGGGGTTTACCACAGATCTTGGTAGAGTATGCTCAAATCTGGCTGCTGGCCTGAGGCTGATCTGATCACAAAGGGATGGTGGTGAACTCACACTGGTGAGCCTTGACATGCGACCGAGTACTTAAAATTATTATTTCTGGACTTTCTTTAAATGAAGGTAAAATCCATGTAAGATAAAATGAACCATTTAAAATGTACAAGTGTGGGGCACTTAGTAAGTACATTACTAGTACAGTGCAAACATTTCCTTCAACCAATTCCAAAACAGTTTTCATCAGCTCACAGAAAAGCTGCTCGCTAGTGCTGAGCGGCTTCACCCACTCCCCTGCCTGTCCTGCATTCTGCTGTCTGTGTGGGTTGACTGCGCTGGTCTCAGGCAAGTGGATCTGCACAGAGTGTGAGCTGACACGCTTCTCTCACTCAGTGCAACGCTGCAAGTCCATCCACAGGCGGCTGTGCAGCAGGCCCTCACCCCCTCTGCACAGCTGAGGGACATCCCACTGCAGCACAGAAGGTGGTGCGTCTATCCACTCCTCTGCTGACCGGCAGCTGGGAAAGCTCCACTTCTTGGCCATTATGAATAGCGCTTCTATGGACATGTAAGTACAAGTGTTTCTCTTTTGGAGTACAATTACAGGGCCAATTACTGTAAAATAGGAGATCTACCATGGGGGAAAGAGTGTGATGAGTTAAGATACTCTGAAACTTCCAGCTTCTGGTAACTTGGGCCAGAGACAGTTCTACTGGAGAGAAGACACAGCCAGGACACACATGTCAGAGGTTAGAACTGACCTAGGGGTGAGGAAGATGAAGGATGAAGGAAGAATCCAGATCCCTGGCTTGAACGGGGGGCAGAAAGATGCTACTGTTTACTGAGAAGCCAATGTTGGGTTTTAGACACAGATGTTCAAGAGGCAGCCTGGCTGCAGGTGACAAGCAGGTAGGGAGGTGCAGGTGACTGCAGAGGCGAAGGACACATGCAGACACTATCAGGTATGAGACAAGGAGGTTGGAACGTCTTACTCCACTGACTACAGTGTCAGTTGTTGGCTGGTCAGCCATGCCCTGAACCATATACTGAGGAACGTGCCTCCCAGTCCAGTCTTGATGATTTTCATCAAGAAGCAATGTTGGTGTTCCTCAACTGCTTTCTCTGCACCCACAGGGATGACCAATTACGGGGTTGTTTTCCTCCATTCAAATAATATCTAGCCCTGAGTTCCTAGAATGAAACCAAGCTGGTGATGATCTAGTACCCTCTTTAACATGCTGTGGGTTCATGTTCATTAGGACCTTATGGAGGCTTCTGCATCTGTATTTACATGACCTAGTGGGGTGTACCTCTGTTATCGTTTCTCTGACTTGGGCATTAGGGCTATGTTTGTTTGAAAGTACGGAATAGGTGGTGCTCCTTTGTTCTGTACTTTTTGGAAGCGTTTATGTAACACTAGCCCCAGTTCTTCTCTGCAGACTCTATAGATATTTCCAGCATGTGTAGGATTCTGTTTGGGGAAGTCTGTCATGGTTGCTCATCCCTTCACTTGACACAGGTCTGCTCAGACGTGTTATTTCTTCTCAAGCGCATCTAAGAAGATGGTTCATTTCTAAGAATTCATCCACCCCAGGAAGGCTATCCAGGTTTTTGCTGAACATTTCTCCACAATATCATGTCAGGATTCACTTTCTCTCAGTTGTAATGTCCTCTCTTTTGGTCATTTCTGTCTTTTGCCTTTGTGAGTCTAGCTGAAGTCCATCTCTTCAAAGAACTGCCTCTGATTTCACTGATTCTAGTTTTGTTTGGTTTAGATTTGTCAGAACAGAGCAAAGAAACACTGCATGGTTAAAATTGGAGAGGGTATATGCCAGGGATGTGTCCTGGAGGCTGGGCTCTATGAGGAGAAATGTGGCATCAGGATTGGAGGTAGACTCATCAACAACCTGTGTTATGTAGATTACACGACCCTGCTTGCTGAAATCAAGGAGGACTTGAAGCATATGCTGCAGAAGGTCAAGGACTGCAGCCTTCAATATGGATTGAATGAAGCACATTAAGAAAATAAAGATTCTCACCACGGGGCTGACTGGCAGCATCATGATAGACTGTGAAGAGAATGAGATTGTTGACAGCTTTAGTTTGCTTGGCTCCACAATCAACACTCTTGGTACCAGCAGCCAAGAGATAAAAAAATGAATTGCACTGGGTAAGTCTGCTGTCTGGGACCTCTCCAGAGTACTAAAAAGTAACAATGTCAGTCTGGAGACTAAGGTGCACCTGTTTCCTATTCATCAGAAAGCTGGACAATGACTAGGGATTACAGAAAGAGAATTGATGCCTTTGAGCTGTGGTGCTAGAGGAAGAGTGTTGAATATACCATGGAATGCTAGGAGAACAAACAGATTCATACCGGAGGAGGTGAAATCAGGCTGCTCCTTGGAGGCAAGGATTCTGAAGCTCCATCTGACATACTCTGGACATGTTTCAAAGAGGGACATCAAGCTGGAGAGGGACGTCATGCGTGGGAGGGTGGAGGGACAGCGCAAGAGAGGAAGACCCTGGATGAAATGGATTGATTCAGTGACTGGGGTAATGGGGGTAGGTGTTGTCAGAGACAAATGAGGTTGGCTCAGATTAAACCAGGGTTGTACACAGGGTCACTATGAGTCGCAGGTGACTTGACGGTACATAACAACAACTCTTATCTTTGTTATTTCTTTCCATCTGATAAATTTGGACTAGCTTGTTCTTCTGTTTCTATCTCCTACAACCTAAATACTCTTTGTTGCATCCCGTAAGTTTTGCTGTTATTTTTATTAAATTATGTATTTTTATTTACTATTCTGAATGAAACTGGTTTACAAATCATATTAGTTTTTCACTTAATCAATCATATTTTAGGAGATTCATGGTCTTTGATTTATGTCATTAGTTAGGATGGTGCACCATAGGCAAGGTTCAGTCAGGTCTCTTGTGACGGGCTGCAGGCTACTCGGTGGAACCTAGTAACAGTACTCGATTGTAATGTCTAATAACCCACTTTACTGTATATTGCCTTATTCACCACTTATTAATTTTTACTCCCTTCCCATCCCTATTATCCCTCCAAGATTGATTCTGTGTGTAAACTTTTCCTTAACTATGATAATTGTGGTCTTATACCCACAATATCTTTATATGGCTGACTTATTTTGTTGTTGTTGCTGTTGTTATGTGCCATCGAGTCGCTTGCGACTCATAGCGACCCTATGTACAAGAGCTCTAAATGCTGTTCTATCCTGTGCCAACCTAGCCATCTCAAACGCACTTATTCCCACCGCTCCAGTCACAGAATCGATCCATCTCACCAAAGGTCTTCCTCTCCTTCGCTTCCCCTCCACTCTGCCAAACATGATGTCCCTTTCCAAGGACCAGTCCCTCCTTGCAACATGCCCAAAATATGTCAGACGAAGCTTCAGAATCCTTGACTCCAGGGAACACTCTGGCTTCA